TGAAGGGTCGCAATAAATTTGGTATTAAAGTGGATGAAGTATATGTGGATCTTCAGTTTGGGCCATGACTCTATCAACAGTTAGGACTCTGCCAGATCTTGGATCTCTAAGCATCTGAGGAAAGCTATGGGACCATCCTTAAGCGCACACACACACACAGTTGAACACAAAAGTCTTCATGTAATTTTACTAGGTTCTTGGTCCCTCTAAAGGCTCATCATGGTACCCAAAGGACCCTAGATTAAAGACATTTGTTACAGATATTTGGAAAAGCTTCCATTCTGTTAAGAATTACTAGGCCGGGCATAGTGGCTCACCCTTATAATTCTAGCACTTCGGGAGGCTGAGGCAGGTGGACTGCTTGAGTCCAGGAGTTTGAGACCGGTCAGGGCAACACCATGAAACCCTGTCTCTACTAAAAATACAAAAAAATTAGCTGAGTGTGGTGGCACACGCCTGTAGTCCCAACTACTCGGGAGGCTGAGGCACAAGAATTGCTTTAACCCTGAAGGTGGAGGTTGCAGTGAGCCAAGATCATGCCACTGCACTCCAGCCTGAGCAAGAGTGAGACTCGGTCTCAAAAACAAAACAAAACAAAACAAAACTACATACGTATTTGGGGGCATGGGACGCAAGTGAAGTGAGACACTAGACTACTACATATACTCAAACTAAGTGACCATTTGGCCTATAATTGGCCAGATAATGGGCCTATGAACTGGCAAGAGTACTGAACTGTTCTAATGAGCACAGGACTGATCTATCAAGGCAATTTGTAGATTCCTTAAATCTTAACACAATGTGCTGGTCTTTACTGAACTGTGTGTGACGGCACTGGTCATTCAAAAAGCTATGTCTTCCTGCACACTTTTCATACACACACACACACACACACACACATTTTATTTCAACCACCAAACGAACTGAATAAATATTACTTTAGGCTGTTGAGCTTTCCCTAGAAAAAAGTGGCAATGTAGAAATTCTAAAGAGCTAAGATACCAATTCCTTTCAATTATGATAAACCCTAACCTGCTTAAAAACACTCTGGGGATACACTTCTACTCTTCTTACTATAAGAGAAAGATCAGAGAAAATCATTCACAAAAAGAAAAAAACCAAAAAGCTGTGAAATTCTTTTCCATCAAGCAATGGTAAGGTCAGAAATAAGCGGAAATAAACAGTTTTAGCCTAATTTTCACCAGATAAAAAGTTGGGAAAAGTTTCCATTTCTCTAAATAAGAGAGAATGTAATTCAGGTTCTTTGGAGAAAATGGAACATTACCTATAAACTCAATAGTAAAGGGCACTAAACACTGGTATTCTTCATAAATCTCTGCTTATCAATATGTGGAGGAAAAAACGGACTAGGTAAAGAAATTATCTTTTTTTTTTTTTTAAATAGATGGAGTCTCGCTCTGTCGCAAGCTCTGCCTCCTGGGTTCACACCATTCTCCTGCCTCAGCCTCCCAAGTAGCTGGGACGACAGGTGCCCCCCACCACCATCAGCCAATTTTTTTGTACTTTCAGTAGAGACAGGGTTTCCACTGTGTTAGCCAGGATGGTCTTGATCTCTTGATCTCCTGACCTCGTGATTCACCCGCCTCAGCCTCCCAAAAGTGCTGGGATTACAGTCGTGAGCCACTGTGCCCAGCTGTAAAGACACTATCTTATTTTATTTTTAGGATAATAACTAATTAGGGTAACCAATTAGCATCTAACCCCTAGGTCAGGTGAGCACTACCATGGTTATGCAAAAAAAGTAGAGATAAAACAGATATTATCTAAACCAATTAAGTTTGTGGCTGTTGAATACATAGTAAATTTTAATATACATGGTTCCTTTCCCTGAAATCAACACACACCAGGACACTCCCCCAAATGGGAAAAACCTCATCTATAACAGATATATATATTATCTTAGAAGCTTTCAGGTCCTTGTAAATTTTCTATTCTCTTCTTAAAGCTGAAGAAAATATGCTCAACAAATATAGCCAAAATGAACTCAAGAAAGCAATTAACTTTCATCAAATTAGAAAATGTAATTAAACTTCTCTTTAGTATTTCTGGACAAGCCAATTTATCCTTTACTTTAGAGTATATGTGATATGGTTTGGCTCTGTGTCCTCACCCCAATCTCATGTTGAATTGTAATCCCCAATGTTGGGGGAGGGACCTGGTGGGAGGTGATTTGATCATGGAGACAGATTTTCCCATTGCTGTTCTCATGATAGTGAGTTCTCACAAGATCTGGTTGTTTGAAAGTGTGTAGCGACAGGTTCCAAGATGGCCAAACAGGAACAGCTCCAGTCTACAGCTCCTAGTGTGAGCGATGCAGAAGACGGGTGATTTCTGCATTTCCAACTGAGGTACTGGGTTCATCTCACTGGGGCTTGTTGGACAGTGGGTGCAGCCACGGAGAGTGAGCTGAAGCAGGGCAGGGCATCGCTTTACTCCGGAAGCATAAGGGGTCGGGGGATTCCCTTTCCTAGCCAAGGGAAGCCGTGACAGACAGTACCTGGAATATCAGGACACTCCCACCCTAATACTGTGCTTTTCCAATGGTCTTAGCAAACAGCACACCAGGAGATTATATCTCGCACCTGGCTCGGAGGGTCCCATGCCCATGAAGCCTCATTCACTGCCAGCACAGCAGTCTGAGATCGAACTGCAAGGCGGCAGCGAGGCTGGGGGAGGGGCACCCACCATTGCTGAGGCTTGAGTAGGTAAACAAAGCAGCCAGGAACCTCGAACTGGGTGGGTCCCACCGCAGCTCAAGGAGGCCTGACTGCTTCTGTAGACTCCACCTCTGGGGGCAGGGCACAGCTGAACAAAAGGCAGCAGAAACTTCCGCAGACTTAAACGTCCCTGTCTGACAGCTTTGAAGAGAGTAGTGGTTCTCCCAGCACGGAGTTTGAGATCTGAGAACGGACAGACTGCCTCAAGTGGGTCCCTGACTGCCGAGTAGCCTAACTGGCAGGCACCTCCCAGTAGGGGCCGACTGACACCTCATACAGCCGGGTGCCCCTTTGAGACGAAGTTTCAGAGGAAGGATCAGGCAGCCACATTTGCCGTTCTGCAATATTTGCTGTTCTGCAGCCTCCGCTGGTGATACCTAGACAAACAGGGTCTGGAGTGGACCTCCAGCAAACTCCAACACACCTGCAGCTGAGGGTCCTGACTGTTAGAAGGGAAACTAACAAACAGAAAGGACATCCACACAAAACCCCTTCTGTACGTCACCATCATCAAAGACCAAAGGTAGATAAAACCACAAAGATGGGAAAAAAACAGAGCAGAAAAGCTGAAAATTCTAAAAATCAGAGCGCCTCTCCCCCTCCAAAGGAACGCAGCTCCTCACTAGCAACAGAACAAAGCTGGTAGGAGAATGACTTTGACGAGCTGAGAGAAGAAAGCTTCAGACAATCAGTAATAACAAACTTCTCTGAGCTAAAGAAGGATGTTCAAATCCATCACAAAGAAGCTAAAAACCTTGAAAAAAGATTAGACAAATGGCTAACTAGAATAAACAGAGAAGACCTTAACTGACCTGATGGAGCTGAAAACCATGGCACCAGAATTACGTGACGCATGCACAAGCGTCATTTGAATTTGGCTCAGTAGCCAAATTCAATCAAGTGGAAGAAAGGGTATCAGTGACTAAAGATCGAATGAATGAAATGAAGCAAGAAGAGAAGCTTAAGAGTAAAAAGAGCGAAAAGAAATGAACAAAACCTCCAAGAAATATGGGACTATGTGAAAATATCAAATCTATGTCTGACTGGTATACCTGAAAGTGATGGGGGAGAATGGAACCAAGCTGGAAAACACTCTTCAGGATATTATCCAGGAGAACTTCCCCAACCTAGCAAGGCAGACCAATATTCAAATTCAGGAAATACAGAGAAACACCACAAAGATACTCCTTGAGAAGAGCAACTCCAAGACAAATAATTGTCAGATTCACCAAAGTTGAAATGAAGGAAAAAATGTTAAGGGCAGCCAGAGAGAAAGGTCGGGTTACCCACAAAGGGAAGCCCATCAGACTAACAGCAGATCTCCTGGCAGAAACTCTACAAGCCAGAGAGAATGGGGGCCAATATTTCTTAAAGAAAACAATTTTCAACCCAGAAATTCATATTCAGCCAAACTAAGCTTCATAAGTGAAGGAGAAATAAAATCTTTTACAGACAAACAAATGCTGAGAGATTCTGTCACCACCAGGCCTGCCGTACAAGAGCTCCTGAAGGAAGCATTAAACACAGAAAGGAATAACCAGTACCAGCCACTGCAAAAACACACCAAATTGTAAAGACCATCAATGCTAAGAAGAAACTGCAACAACTACTGAGCAAAATAACCAGCTAACATCATAATGACAGGATCAAATTCACACATAACAATATTAACCTTAAATGTAAACGGGCTAAATGCTCCAATTAAAAGACACAGACTGGCAAATTGGATACAGAGTCAAGACCCATCAGTTTGCTGTATTCAGGAGACCCATCTCACGTGCAGAGACACACATACGCTCAAAATAAAGGCATGGAGATGTACCAAGCAAATGGAAAACAAAAAAAAGCAGGGGATGCAATTCTCATCTCTGATAAAACAGACTTTAAACCAACAAAAATGAAAACAAATGAAGAAGGCCACTACATAATGGTAAAGGGATCAATTCAACAAGAAGAGTTAACTATACTAAATATATATGCAACCAATACAGGAGCACCCAGATTCATAAAGAAAGTCCTTAAGAGACCTACAAAGAGACTTAGACTCCCACACAATAATAATGGGAGACTTTAACACCCTACTGTCAACATCAGATGGATAAACAAGACAGAAAGTTAAAAAGGATGTCCAGGAATTAAAATCAGCTCTGCACCAAGCGGACCTAATAGACATCTACAGAACTCGCCACCCTAAATCAACAGAATACACATTCTTCTCAGCACCACATTGCACTTATTCCAAAATTGACCACATAGTTGGAAGTAAAGCACTCCTCAGCAAACGTAAAAGAACAGAAATTATAACAAACTGTCTCTCAGACCACAGTGCAATCAAACTGGAACTCAGGATTAAGAAACTCACTTGCCTTTCTGGCAGTGACGACCTACCCACACGAGAACATGCCTCTCGCAAAGGATCTCCTTCATCCCTCCCCAAAAGAGAAGAGGAAACACAAGAAGAAACGCCTGGTGCAGAGCCCCAATTCCTACTTCATGGATGTGAAATGCCCAGGATGCTATAAAATCACCATGGTCTTCAGCCATGCACAAACGGTAGTTTTGTGTGTTGGCTGCTCCACTGTCCTTTGCCAGCCTACAGGAGGAAAAGCAAGGCTTACAGAAGGATGTTCCTTTAGGAAGAAGCAGCACTAAAAGCACTCTGAATCAAGATGAGTGGGAAACCATCTCAATAAACACATTTTGGATTAAAAAAAAAAAAAAAAAGAAAAGAAACTCACTAAAAACCGCTCAACTACATGGAAACTGAACAACCTGCTCCTGAATGACTACTGAGTACATAACGAAATGAAGGCAGAAATAAAGATGTTCTTTGAAACCAATGAGAACAAAGACACAACATACCAGAATCTCTGGGACACATTTAAAGCAGTGTGTAGAGGGAAATTTACAGCACTAAATGCCCACAAGAGAAAGCAGGAAAGATCTAAAATTGACACCCTAACATCACAATAAAAAAAACTAGAGAAGCAAGAGCAAACACATTCCAAAGCCAGCAGAAGGCAAGAAATAACTAAGATCAGAGCAGAACTGAAAGAGATAGAGATACAAAAAACCCTTCAAAAAAATCAACGAATCCAGAGCTGATTTTTTGAAACGATCAACAAAATTGATAGACCGTTAGCAAGACTAAGAAAGAAGAAAAGAGAGAAGAATCAAATAGACGCAGTAAAAAATGATAAAGGGGATATCACCACCGATCCCACAGAAATACAAACTACCATCAGAGAATACTAAAACACCTCTATGCAAATAAACTAGAAAATCTAGAAGAAATGGATAAATTCCTGGACACACACACACCCTCCCAAGACTAAACCAGGAAGAAGCTGAATCCCTGAATAGACTAATAACAGGCTCTGAAATTGAGGCAATAATAGCCTACCAACCAAAAAAAGTCCAGGACCAGACGGATTCACAGCCAAATTCTACCAGAGGTACCAAAAGAAATGGTACCAGTCCTTCTGAAACTATTGCAATCAATAGAAAAAGAGGGAATCCTCCCTAACTCATTTTATGAGGCCAGCATCACCCTGATACCAAAGCCTGGTAGAGACATAACAAAAAAAGAGAATTTTAGACCAATATCCCTGATGAACACTGATGCAAAAATCCTCAAGAAAATACTGGCAAACCAAATCTAGCAGCACATCAAAAAGCTTATCCATCACGATCAAGTTGGCTTCATCCCTGGGATGCAAGGCTGGTTCAACATATGCAAATCAATAAACGTAATCCATCATATAAACAGAACCAAAGACAAAAACCACATGATTATCTCAAAAGATGCAGAAAAGGCCTTTGACAAGATTCAACAGCCTTCATGCTAAAAACTCTCAATAAACTAGGTATTGATGGGACGTATCTCAAAATAATAAAAGCTATTTATGACAAACCCACAGCCAATATCACACTGAATAAGCAAAAACTGGAAGCATTCCCTTTGAAAACTGGCACAAGACAAGGAGACCCTCTCTCACCACTCCTATTCAACATAGTGTTGGAAGTTGTGGCCAGGGCAATCAGGCAGGAGAAAGAAACAAAGGGTATTCAATTAGGAAAAGGGGAAGTCAAATTGTCCCTGTTTGCAGATGACATGATTGTATATTTAGAAAACCCCATTGTCTCAACCCAAAATCTCCTTAAGCTGATAAGCAACTTCAGCAAAGTCTCAGGATACAAAATCAATGTGCAAAAATCACAAGAATTCCTATACACCAATAAGAGACAAACAGAGAGCCAAATCATGAGTGAACTCCCATTCACAACTGCTTCAAAGAGAATAAAATACCAAGAAATCCAACTTACAAGGGATGTGAAGGACCTCTTCAAGGAGAACTACAAACCACTGCTCAACGAAATAAAAGAGGACACAAACAAATAGAAGAACATTCCATGCTCACGGATAGGAATAATCAGTATCGTGAAAACGGCCATACTGCCCAAGGTAATTTACGGATTCAACGCCATCCCCATCAAGCTACCAATGACTTTCTTCACAGAATTGGAAAAAACTACTTTAAAGTTCATATGGAACTAAAAAAGAGCCCATATTGCCAAGACAATCCTAAGCCAAAAGAACAAAGCTGAAGGCATCATGCTACCTGACTTCAAACTACACTACAAGGCTACAGTAACCAAAACAGCACGGTACTGGTACCAAAACATGAGATACAGACCAATGGAACAGAAGAGAGCCCTCAGAAATAATACCACACATCTACAACCATTTGATCTTTGACAAACCTGACAAAAACAAGAAATGGGGAAAGGATTCCCTATTTAATAAATGGTGCTGGGAAAATTGGCTAGCCATATGTAGAAAGCTGAAACTGGATTCCTTCCTTACACCTTATACAAAAATTAATTCAAGATGGATTAAAGACTTAAATGTGAGACCTAAAACCATAAAAACCCTAGAAGAAAACCTAGGCAATACCATTCAGGACACAGGCATGGGCAAGGACTTCATGACTAAAACAACAAAAGCAATGGTAACAAAAGCCAAAATTGACAAACGGGATCTAATGAAACTAAAAAGTTTCTGCACAGCAAAAGAAATTACCATCATAGTCAACAGGCAACCTACAGAATGGGGGAAAATCTACTCATCTGACAAAGGGCTAATATCCAGAATCTACAAAGAACTCAAACAAACTTACAAGAAAAAGTCAAACAACCCCATTAAAAAATGTGTGAAGGATATGAACAGACACTTCTCAAAAGAAGACATTTATGCAGCCAACAGACACATGAAAAAATGCTCATTATCACTGGCCATCAGAGAAATGCAAATCAAAACCACAATGAGATACCATCTCACACCAGTTAGAATGGCGATCATTAAAAAGTCAGGAAACAACAGGTGCTGGAGAGGATGTGGAGAAATACGAACACTTTTACACTGTTAGTGGGACTGTAAACTAGTTCAACCATTGTGGAAGACAGTGTGGTGATTCCTTAAGGATCTAGAACTAGAAATACTATTTGATACAGCCATCCCATTACTGGGTATATACCCCCAGGATTATAAATCATTCTGCTATAAAGACACGTGCACATGTATGTTTACTGCGGCACTATTCACAATAGCAAAGACTTGGAACCAACCCAAATGTCCATCAATGACAGACTGGATTAAGAAAATGTGGCACACACATACCATGGAATACTATGCAGTCATAAAAAACGATGAGTTCACGTCCTTTGTAGGGACATGGATGAAGCTAGAAACCATCATTCTTAGTAAACTAACACAGGAACAGAAAACCAGACACCGCATGTTCTCCCTCAGAGGTGGGAAGTGAACAATGAAAACACCTGGACACAGGGTGGGGAACATCACACACTGGGGCTTGTTGTGGGGTCAGGGGAGGGGGGAGGGATGGCATTAGGAGATATACCTAATGTAAATGACGAGTTAATGGGTGCAGCACATCAACATGGCACACGTATATATATGTAACAAACCTGCATGTTGTGCACATATACCCTAGAACTTAAATTAAAACAAACAAAAAAAAACAACTTAATTAAAAAAATGTAAACCATCTTAAAAAAAAAAAAAAAAGAAAGTTTGTAGCACTTCTCCCTTCACTCTCTCCTGCTGCCATGTGAAGATGTGCTTGCTTCCCCTTCATGTTCCACTACAACTGTAAGTTTCCATGGGCCTCTCCAGCCACGTCTCCTGTACAGCCTGTGGAACTGTGAGTCAATTAAAGCTCTTTTCTTCATAAATTACCCACTCTCAGGCAGTTCTTTATAGCAGTGAAAGAATGGATTAATATAATATGCATACCTTATATGTCTAGAAATAGAAAAAACCCTCAACTTTCATTAAAATATTAATTTTACTTGTATTGATCTAAAGCTAAAAATTTCACTCTAAGGTTGGAAAAAATATACTGTGGAACACATATCAAACTCAAAATTTCACTAAAGACAAAAATAATTATGAATGAAAGGTATCAGATGACCTATTTCATCTGGTTTTCCATCACCAAGCTCATAAAAAGTTTTCTGAAGCAAAAAAAACACAGAGATATTGGATCTTAAAATAAACTTAATTCTTTGCAAAATAAAAGGTCAATGAGAAAGATTCTGAATATCAGATATGCAGATTTCTACCAAGATTTTGTGTATATAGGACTGAAGAATTACCTTTAGTTCTTCTATGGACTGATAGTCATTGTTCTTGATCTTTTCTTTCATGGTACTAAAATCCATTGGGTGTTTAATAATCATGGAGTAGCCAGGAGCAATAAAATCAGTCACGGGAAATGAAAAGAAAGCACTTGGATCTTTTCTGTGAAGATATGCAAAAGACAATGTTATATTTTATTCTATTACAAACAAATCTAACGGTTTAGGAGCATAAGTCAGAGGAAACCCTTCAGATGCAGAAAGAATTTGTAATATGTTAACATATTTTTAACTGAAAACTGAAGAAATGATTTTAAAGTCTATTAACTATTTAATAACAAGTAAGTTTTACATACTAGCTGTACCCTCAGGATGGAGATTTCTTTCTTATAAAATACAAAACCTCATTAATTAACAGCTCCACCTATATAGGAAAAAATGAAGCAAAATAAACCTCAACTAACTGACCAATGTTTTAACCTTTGGGAGATCAGCACTGCATATTTTTAATTAACCAAAGGGGAAAAGGCTGAAATAGTAACTATTAACATACATCTACAATCCTCCATATTAACTTCTAATAGGCTTGCATTTCTGGTCCATGTATGTCTACTTTCTCCATCAATGGATATAACTTCTATCATGCATATGTGGGGTATGCTAAAAAAAACCGACATTAAAAAGCTCCTCTTTATATCTCCATATGTGTGCCAAAACAAGACTAGACCAAAAAAACCCCAAAATCAGAAACCCAAATTTGAAAACTGGTGCTCTTCATCACAGATTCTCAACACTGGCTGTACATTAGAATCACACAGGAGCTTTAAAAAAATTCCAATGCAGGGAAGAAGCGGGAGGAAGACTCAGCTTAGACCCACTGTATCAGAAGCTCTTGGGGAAAAAGAGTAGGGTCCAGGCAGTGATATTTCCACGGGTGAGTATTGGCATTGGGATTTGAGTATTTGGCATTTGTATTTCCAGTAATGTCAGGTTGAGAATGAGTGCTTTATATGATTAAATCATTATGCTGATTTTTTTTTTTCCTTCTGGAAATCTGGCATACCAAGAGTTTTCTTACTCCACAGAATAACAGTAAAAATATGGTTTAAAAAATAACAACAACTTTAAAAACATATTTACCATGTTGCTAGTCCAAGTGGCAGGCACTTGACATATTTTATATCTAATCCTCACAAAAGCCATCAAAGTGGTGGTATCCTCCACCACTGGAGGATACTGAGGTTCAGTGAGGTTGAAATTATTTATCCTAAGCCATGCATTAAATAAAAGAGTTGAAATCTGATTCAGGTCTATGTGAATCTGCCTTTGTTTTTCAGAGTAGGGTGCCTAAGCAATGAGACTGAAAAATGACAACAAGCAAAAATACCCAGTCAGGACCTATACATCAAAATGTGCACCGTCCACAGGAGTTACCGTAACGGCAGCATTCATCTCTGGGTGGCCTCCTGAAGCTACCCTTTGGAGGAAATTATCTAACTCCTAGGTCAATCATTTTAATACAGAGCCCCATCTAGTTTTGACCAAAAATGCTATTATCAAACTTGATGAACTAGTTTTTTTTTTTTTTTTTTTAACCAGGCTTAGCTCCTGGTAAGGATAAGGAATCATCCAATCACTAAAACTAATCAAAAACAGTGTGGCTCTGGGTTCTAATTCCCAAAATGTTTTTAACAATGCTAACGACTTTAGACTAAGAAATACTTTCTGAAGTGTTTTCTTTTCATTAAGATTTTGTTTCTAATTGACATATAATAATTGCACATATTTAGAGGGTACAGTATGACGTTTCGACACATATATACTGACATACATATATACAAGGATACTTCAGTATCACTGTGTAATGATCAAATCAGGGTAATTAGCATATTTATCACCCTAAACACTTGTTATTTCTTTGGGATAAGAACATTCAAAATCCTTTCTTTTAGCTATTCTGATGTATATAATAAATGGTTGTGGACTGCTGTCACCTTACTGTGCAACAGAACACCAGAGCTTATTCCTCCTATCTAACTGTAATTCTGTACCTGCTGACCACCTCTACCTTTCCCTCGCCTCTGGTAAACACTGTTCTACTCTCTACTTGTATGAAATCAACTTTTTAAGATCCCACATGAATGAGATGATGTCATATTTGTGCCCTCACCATATTTTCTGTCTTCACATCAGATTGGTAATGTGCTGACGTTGTAACAAAGTTTGAGGGTGGTATATCTCACGAAGGAACATGAAAACCCAATCATTTCACTTATGAACTACAAAAGGATTGCACAGTATTTGTTCTTCTGTGTTTGGCTTATTTCATTTAACATGATGTCCTCTAGGTTCATTCATGTTGTTACAAATGATAGTATTTCATTCTTTTTAATGGTGGAATTAATATTCCATTGTGTATACATACCACATTTTAAAAAATGCATTCATCCATTGATGGGCACTTAAACTGATTCCATCTTGGCTACGATGAATAGCACTGCAATTAACATGAGAGTACGGGTATTTCCTGGACATATTGATTTCATTTCCTTTGGATATATACCTAGTAGATGAACTGCTGGATCATATGGCAGTTCTATTTTTAATTTTTTGAGGAACCTCCATACTGTTGTCCATAATAGCGATACTAATTTACATTCCCACCACCAATATATACAATTTCCCTTTCTCTACCACATTCTTGCCAGCTTTTCTTTTTTTGTCTTTTGATAACAGGCATTCTAATTGGGGTGAGGTGGTATCTCACGGTGATTTTGACTTGCATTTCTCTGATTATTAGTGATGGTGAGCATTTTTTCATATACCTATTGGCCATTTGAATGTCTTCTTTTAATTAAGTCATTTCTTTTAAGGTGACATCATTAACTTACATTCTGGTCTTATGTTGCAAGAAAAACTGTAAGGCAGTCATGACATTTACAGTCACACCTTGTAAACTGCAATGGAATACCCAATACCTACTCACTCCCTTTGGACAAGTAGTGAAGTAATGAATGAGTTATTTAAATATAAAGACTACAGATGTAATTTTTCTCAAACACCAAAAAAGAAGAGAAACCAGTAAGTTCTTTTTTTTTTTTTTTTTAAGAAAAGGTCTCATTCTGCTGCCCAGGCTGGAGTGCAATGGTGCTATCACAGCTCACTGCAGCCTCAACCTCTTGGGCTCAAGTGATCCTTCCACCTCAGTCTCTGGAGCAGCTGGGACTACAGGTGTGTGCAACCACACTAGGATTTTAATTTTTTTGTAGAGATGGGGTCTCACTATGTTGTCCAGGCTGGTCTTAAACTCTTGGCCTCAAGTGATCCTCCCACTTCAGCCTCCCAAAAAGTGTTGGGATTACAGGTGTGAGCTACTATACTCGGCTAACTTCTGATCTTAACTGCAAACCTAAACAGGCATTGAATACAGATTACATTAGAGAAAAATTATTTACAATGTGTTCTGGGTTGACTTAAGTTCAATACAATGAAAGAAAGTCCACTGTAAAAATGTATGCTCTACAACCATAAACCCTTTGCAAATAATGTAAATATCTTTGAGTAAAGAGAGGTATCAAAATAAATATTTATTTTTATTTATTTATTTATTTTATTATTTTACTTTTTTGAGGTGGAGTCTTGCTCTGTCACTCAGGCTGAAGTGCAGTGGCACAATCTCAGCTCACTGCAAGCTCCACCTCCCAGGTTCACACCATTCTCCTGCCTCAGTCTCCCAAATAGCTGGGACTATAGGCGCCCGCCACCATGCTCGGCAAATCTTTTTGTATTTTTGAGTAGAAATGGGGTTTCACCGTATTAGCCAGGATGGTCTCCATCTCCTGACCTCGTGATCCGCCCACCTTGGCCTCCCAAAGTGCTGGGATTACAGGCGTGAGCCACAGCACCCGTCCCAAAATAAATGTTTTATAAAGACTGAGTTATTCTTTTCCCTTTTAAGAACTCAACATTGGCTTAATCTAGGCACTGAAATTTTAAAAACAAATTTCTGCTTTTAAAAGAAGGCCATAATTCCTATTCATGGTGTTTTATTTTTTGTCCCATACTTAATAACTGTTAAACATTCATGGCATGATAAGCATTGTACAAATACACAGAAGGTATTTCTATCTATTAGCAAAGTGGAAATAGCTGTATTGTTTATTCCTGGCTTAAAGTTTTAACATCAGAAATTACTTTAGAGACAGAAATTTGTCATTAAAAGTATTATGTAACACTCTTCAAGTTGCCAGGGAAACAAACCAAATAAAGAATATCTAAAAGTTAGCCTCTTGGAGTACTTCTGCTGCCAGGCAAAATATTTATCATTCACTAAAATCAAGTACGTTTGGAGTTAGGCACAATGTGGTTTGGATGCGACACATTTACCATTTTAATTTCTATGTTATAAAAATATTGGAAAAACACTTACCTCTGCAATTGTCTCATCAGTTGATTCAAAGCTTCTTGAAGGGGCGTCTGTTCTACTTCTAGAGCAAAGAAGAAGGGAAAAGGGTGTTTTAAAAAGGAGCATTCTAGAGAGTATTATTTACTAGATCATTTTCTATTTAATAATAGCCATTATTAAATACCTCATACAGAAATTCCATTTATCTTAAAAATATATTGAAGTTTTGAGAGTATCAATCCAAAATTGAAGCTAATTTAAAGCTCTTATGCAGTTTGAGAGAAAAAACTTAAAAATTCAATTACAAAGCTCCAACTTAGGAGCTAAAACCCCACTATTTTCCTGAGCTATAATAATTGCAGCATCCTCATTCAGGATAGTTAATTCAGAGTTATTCCAACCTTCTTGTTTGGCTAAAGAGCTTGTGAGAGGCTTCTCAGGGGGCAAGTCTAATCTCACAGGGGCGTGACACTGGAGGTCTTTTTCTGCCTCATTCTCCACCCGGTCTCGATCTCGCTTCTTTTTATCCTCCTAAATGGAACAAAGGGAGATAATTTAGAAATATTTCAGAACCAGTATCTTTAAATACACAAATCATTTTAAGGGGTAAAAAGACATCATTGCAAAGAAAATATTCTTAATAATGAGCTCAATGTATTTTACAGCCATCTACTGGAAAAGGAGAGAATAATATGTTCACAAAGGAAAAAAAAAGGGCGTCTCTATGCCAGAAATAACCAGTTAGAAAAACAATACTATCCAAAAAAGCAACATAGTGTGTATAGAAATAAATCTAATAAAAGATACCCAAAACCTTTTGGGAAAAACTGAAACATTATTGAACGTATTGAAGGTCACAGCAGAAGGCCTGAATAAAGGAGATATACTATGTTCATGAATTGAAAGAGTCAGTCCTCTCTCAAGTTATCAATACATTCGATGTAATGCCAATTGAAATTTAAAAACAAAAATTTTCATGGAATTCGACATGCCAATTACATTAATTTACCTTGAAGAGTGAACGATTAAGAACACAATAGTTTTGAAACAGGTCAGAATAAGATGATATGTCTTACCAGATATTATTTGTGTAATGTGATAATAAGACAATGTGGGTCTGACAGACAAATAAACCAACAGAAGAGATCAGAGTACAGAAACAGACCCATGTACATAGAATAATCTTAGTATATCACAGAGGTGACATTATAAGTCAATGACAAAAGGGTGGTACTGAGACAACTGGTTACCTGAAAAGAGAAAATAGAATTTGAGTTCTACTTCATGCCATACACAAAAGTGAATTCCAGATAAAGACTTAAATGTACAAAGCAAAGCTTCAGAACTTCAGATGAAAGTAAAGCATCTTTAAGACCCAAGAATAGAAAAAGACTTTCTTAAATAAGATATAAAAAGAATAAATTTTTGGCCAGGCACAGTGGCTCAAGCCTGTAATCCCAGCACTTTGGGAGGCCATGGCGGGCGGATCATGAGGTCAGGAGAGCGAGACCATCCTAGCTAACATGGTGAAATTCCGTCTCTACTAAAAATACAAAAAAAAATTAGCCGGTGTGGTGGCAGGCGCCTGTAGTCCCAGCTACTCGGGAGGCTGAGGCAGGAGAATGGCGTGAACCCAGGGGGCGGAGCTTGCAGTGAGCTGAGATCGCACCACTGCACTCCAGCCTGGGCGAGAGTGCAAGACTCCATCTCAAAAAAAAAAAAAAAAAAAAAAAAAAAGAATACAGTTTTAAGGAAAAACTTGATACATCTGATATTAAGTTGATAAATTTCGGTATCTTAACAAAATCCATGAACCAAGTTAAAAATCTAACGATAGACTGAAATAAAGTACTTGAAACACAACTTATAAAACATTAAGAAAGATTCTGTAAAGAGTATCTATAAATCTATGCAAAAAGGCAAAAAATCCAAAAAGGAAACAGATAAGCGATATTACAGGTAACTCACAGAATAAGAAACGTGAAATGTTGAGAACATGAGAACTAGCTCAAGCTCCCTGGAACTTGGGTAATTATAGACTTAAAAACTAGAGTTATTTCACCTCTCTTTGGCAACATTTAAAATGTCTGAAATGTCAAGTTTTGATAAAAATGTAGAGAAATGGGATTTTCATACCTTGCAATTGGGTGAATAGGAACAATCCTTAGCAGAGCAATTAGCAATATCTATCAAAGCTAGCAAAGCCTTTATCCTACTTCTCAACTGCTACTGTCTGTGCATATACCAGAGAAATTTCCTGTCGTATGGTCTACATGGAGACTTGGTACAAGATTACTGTAGCATTGTTTAAAATAGTAAAAAAATAGGAATAATCCAATGCCTATTAAAAGGAAAATGGATTAATAAATTATGTCGTATTTACATAACAGGTAAAATAAATGAGCTAAAATGATATTGTATCAACATGGATAACGTTCAGAAATAATGTCTGGAGAAAAAGTTGCAGAACAATTATCTGTTACGAGGTAAGTATAAAAATGTGTAAGCATACACTGTTTACAGATTTATACAGAACTTGTAATTATAAAAACATGCATGTGATATACACCAAATTCAGTAGAGTGGTTCTCTCTATTAGAAGGAAAGAGAGAAATGGGACTCTGAAAGGGTATAAGGGACGCTTCATCTCTGTCTGCCCTCTTCTTTCCTTAGAGGAAAAAAATACATATATATACATACATGTATGCATTTTTAAAATTTAAATTTTGAAGTAAAATTGTCCAACAATGCCCATTTTATGCTCATCAAAATCAAGATTCTCAACAGGATCTTATGGACTCAAAAAGCTATTTTCTTGGCCTATACCCTATTTTTTATTTCTAGTATCCAGAGCAGCGGTTCTCAAGGCATGGTCCCCAGACTGGC